ATTTGTATTATTTTTTATTGTTTTTTTTCCCAAATATTTTTGATCTGTAATTGGTTGAATCTGTGGATGTGGAAACTGTGGATACAAATGGTCAACTGAAAGGGCTCTAAAGTTTATTTGGAAAAAAACACATAAGAAAATGCAATTTAAAAGAGATTAAAGCAAGTCATATCATAAACCGCAGAAATTGAAAGTCTTGCATTGTGGTAGACTAGATAGACCAATAAAAAGAGGATATAAAGTATATATAGAGATTTTAATTTTAATAAATGGTAATTTATTAAATGGTAATGTAACTCAATGTGTAAAGGAAAACAATTAATATGGGATATTAAAACAAAAAGGTACTCATTAGAGAAAATAATTGTGTTAGATACACCAAAAGTGGGGAAGGGAGCCCAGATGGAGCAAAGATCACTCTAAAAGGCAAGCAAGCAGAGCTACTTCATATGGTTCAGTTGTACAGCGCACCACCTGCATGCCCATATGCAGTAGCCTTGAAAGCAACACTTAACCATAACACGTATTATATCCAGAGGATAAAAAGGGCTCATGGGTTTTGGCCTTTAAGTTCTATGAAATTCCTAGAATCCTAAAGCTTGTAAAGTAAATCAACTTTTGCTTTAAAAACTATACTAAATGGTGCTCTCTTTAAAATTTGTCTTATTCTATTTTCTAACAATATCAAAGTAGAGATTTTTAAAGTCCAATACTCATCTCATTTTATCCTTCCAACCTTGCCATCAGACTGGAACAGAGGAAAATAAGTAAAATTTCCCCCATGCTGTCTTTTTCATTCAACAACTTCAAATTAGAATTTTTTCATTATACAGCATATTAAAATATAGTTTTAATAGTCTTGATGAAAATCTGTTATAATCTTGACTTGCTAATTAGCAATTCCTTTTTTTGAACAAGAAACTGAGAAACATGTCCACCTGATAAAAAATATTTTGTATCTTGACTATGATAAAGATGGTTGAGATTACCCAACTAGTATAAGTTTTTCAAAATTCAGATGGAGTACTTTAAAAGGGTAAATTTTACTTTATATAAAT